ACTATATAGACATATACATGCACATATACATATACATCTTTGATTTAACCAGGTAGTTCTCCCTTAAATTTAGATTTTTATGGGAGACTTTAAAGTGTCCCTTAAAAAAGGAGATTTTAAGGTCTAAATTTTTTTACCTATACATATTTATTCCACTCAGTTAATGTGTGATTTATTTATTTTCTATTATAAGTTTTATATTGTGAAATATATCGTTACCGCCACCCATCATAATGTATATCGTGATATGAATTTTTTGCCATATCTCACATTCCTACTGTACAGTAAGTGTGACATTTGTTCAACCAATTAATTATACCAAGGATGATTTGCTCAAATAACCTGCGATTTCCTGCCATCATGTCACGTAATCTGGATTTTACTGATCTTGCTCTGGTCAACAGCTGGCTGTTTTATTGTCCAAATTACCAGGAAAAATGATTTCCCCAGAAAGACTATCAAGAAGTTTGACAAGTTTTGCATGGTAATGGCTCAGATATTTCTCAACAAGCATGACATTTTGAGACCTGGTGTCCTCACATGAGGACATCCTTTATTTTTTTTATTTTTTTATTTTTTACAAAAACCACTTCTTGTATCATGACAGAGTCTAGTTATTTTACATATTAGGGCCTACTTATCTTGGGAAAAATGCACATCAAACAAAATCTGACTCTCAGGAGGTAAAAATAATCTCAAAGGGATAGTACTGTTTATCACAGTAATTTCTGAGACAATTTGTCATCCAGCAAAATTTGTTATTCTAACGTGCCTGTGTAGATACAGTACAGAATCATTAGTATCGTTGAATGCTGTTTTTTTGTTTTTGTATTGAAACCCATCAAACAAAGAAGGTGAAAAAAATTGTCTGCCTTCAGAACTCCATTAATGTATTTTTTATAAAGCAAAAACCCAAGAGGTGTTTTCCCACATTAAGGTGATCTTGTATCAGTTTAGCTTTACACCTCAATAATAATTACCTGCAGATGTTTGAGGCATTAACCCAAGCAGGGGACAGAGTTGAACATAACATCTAAAGTCTTAACCATCCTGTAATCACTCACGAATCGTCACCGCTGTAAAGATTTAAAAGTTGGACAACTTCGAAAAGCGGTTTCGAAATATATATTAAAACGTGTATTATTCCTGTCTGGTTTCAGTCTGTCAACACCTTCACAGCATCCCTAAATACGATCTGCAGGCAGCAGACTTAATCCTCACCCAATTAGCAGTTAGTCGTAGCACCTTCTTTTGAGTAACAACTGGCGTTCCCTCGACGCTCCCGGTCTGCCTGCCAGTAAACGTGGACCACTCCTGAGCCTCAGCTGGTGGAGAAAAGTAGTCCCTAATGGTTTGGGATGAAGGAAGTGTCAGGGTGGTTGAGGATAAGAGGCAGATCTACTTTGGGATGTGAATTGTCTCCAGTCCAACTAGCATCTGTTGTTTCAGGCTTGTTAATGTAATAGAGTTTTTGTAGTTGGATGGAGAGCCTGGGTTAAGCCCTGTCGCCCTCTGTGAGGCCAGCTCTGAGCTAACAATAGCAAATGCACCAGATATAGAAGCAGGCATTTTTGTGACACATCTAAAGTCAGGCGAATGCAGAGACGCTGTGTCTCTCCGAGGACATCTCAAGCCACAACTATGTTATTGGACATGTGTAAACCAGACGTGTTTAGATGAGCTAATTCAGCTAATTTGCAGGCTCTTCTGACTAACGTTTGGACGGAAGAAAACTCATTAAAAACATTGAAAACTTAATAAATATTAAAGCAAATTCACCTTATATTGTGCTGTTTCTGTCACAATATTTGATTTGCTACTCCTGAGCTTTCGAAAAAGATGTAAAGGTCATCAAATGTGTGGCTTGATTAGGATGTTTGCTAAAAACGTTTAAAAAAATCCTCACAGCTTTGGGATTTCGGTTAAATAAGAGAGACAACTCAACTCTCTTTGGAGCTCTTCAGTCTACAGATACATCACAGTAAAAACATCATTTAATTTCCCCGCTGCGGGTCAATAAAAACTATTTCTATTCTATTCTATTCTTCTAAAGTTTAGTAGAGCCACAGAAAGTTGCTTATTACATGGCTGAACTGGTATTTTGACATCTTTAGGAGGTTATACACCATGACAGTTAGTGTCATAACATTTTGGAGATTAAACCAAGGAATCATTGAAGACAAGGTGAAGATTCAACACAAGTATTTTATTCCCTAAAAAATGTTAATTGTTTATCAAATGGTTTTTTAATACAATACACCTGCATTGAACATACCTAACCAGCAGATGTCTGCATTTTAACAGTGACTTAGGCTACGTTCACACTGCAGTCAAAAGACAAATCAATTTTTTTTATTTCAAATCTTACCCAAGCCTTTTCAATATGTGGTTCTGAATTAGATACATATCTGGTGTTTTTCAAAGCCACCTCAGTCTAAACGTTCATGCCTCATTTCATCCTGAAGGACATTTTATGTATTATAAACTGAATTTAAGATCCAGTCTTGTATTTTACACTCTGTGATCGTTGCAGCCGTATGAGGAACAGAGTCAGTGTGTCTGACCAATATGAGCCCTCTCTGTAATAGGGCTGGACAATATGGCAAAAAAAATGATAACGATTTATTTTTTGATATTGTCCAATCTCGATTATATCACAATTTTTTAATTAACCTAAACGTGTGTAATTATATTGTCACTGAAAAATAATTTAACAAATAAATAGCAACAAAAAAAAGATAAATAATGGCTGTTATTTCACTTTCACAACAATAACAAATTATTGTGGTTCAGTAGAACATTAATTTCTTTTTGTAAGGTATTTAATGGTATTTATCAAGAAAAATAATATTATTTATGTGTAAATCATAGAATCTCACATCAGGGCTCTAGAGTGCGATCAATTTGGTCGCAAATGCGACCTGATTTCCTAATAGTGCAACTAAAAAAAATGTCCAGTCGCACTGGTGCGACCAATCGTTTGAGGGGGAGGGGGAGAGGTCGCCCGCTGAAACAAAAAGTTTCCATGTTCCATAAAAATAATCCAGCAGTATCAATGGTCGCCCACCGACAGTCACATGTCTCCTAATGACACAGCGCTCTGCTCGCGGCTCCGCTCCACACCTCCGCGCACACACATTTGTTGTTCTATCCTCATGGGGACTTTGTATTGACTTCCATTCATTTCCCCGTCAATTCTACAACCAACCATAACCTCCAGGGTAGACTACACACCTGACCCAAACCCTAACCTCACCAGGCTGTGTGTACTGGGGAAATGGTCAATAACTGTACCCACCATGAGGCAAAAATCTGTACACAGACACACACACACACGTGCGCAGTTCGTTCGGTCATAAATCCATCTTGCTAATTTAACAGTCAGATCTGAGAACACAGCAGAGCAGCAGCCGATAAGTTCAACAGGCAGAAGCTCATTGTATGGCAGGCAGATATTACATTTATTTGGCTTCACCACACCTACATTCCAGTTATCTGAAATTGTTTTATGACAGGACTGTGTGCAGCTCCGGTCCTGTCACACTATAACATTTTAGGCAACATTGAATTTTTTATGTTTAAATTACTAATTTTACTTGAAGTACTTGTTATAACATCCACTTTATTTTGATATTGTTGAAAATTTGAGAAATATTTTTGTTTGTTGTTGAAACTGTTTTGCACTATATATAAAAAACATTCTTTTGTACTTCTGTTATGTTCAATTGCACTACAGCAAAAATGCTGGGTTTGATTATGATTACAGTTTTCTGCAAAAAAAAGCTCTAAAAATTGCATTATCTTTACTTCTTATGATAGTTTTCTACCATGATATATACCGTTACCATGAAGGGATCCAGTTTATACCGTGATATGAATTTGAGGTCATACCGCCCAGCCCTACATCCATGTTTAGCTACTTTTGTAAACAGCTGAATGTGATGTTACATAATTTTCTGCACATACAGGTCCCATCAGGGCCGTGGAGAGTTCACACAGGAGTCAGATGGAAGTCATGTTTAAAATCAAAATGTGAACGTCTGCACAAACAGCTGGAATTGAGCATGAAGATGTGCAGTGTGAACGTGGCCCAAGTCTTGTGTATATTTTCATATGTTACAATGATGACACGTTTCTCCTGACTTTATTTCCCAGCTGGAGATGGAGAAGCTGCAGCTCCAGAGCCTGGAGCAGGAGCACCGCAAGCTGACGGCGCAGCTGAAGGACGAGCGCGAGAAGAACAAACACATCGTGATGATGCTGGTGCGCGAGTGCAAGCAGCTGGCCACGCGGGTGGTGGAGGAGTCGCAGCGCTTCGACGAGCTCCAGGCCCGCCTGGACGAGGAGAGCCGCGCCTCGGGCCGGCTGCGGGAGGAGCTGAGCGGCGAGCAGCGGCGCGGCCAGCAGGCGGAGGCCCAGATGGAGAAGCAGCTGTCGGAGTTCGACACGGAGCGCGAGCAGCTGCGCGCCAGGCTGGGCCGCGAGGAGACGGAGAGCCGCGGCCTGCGGCAGCAGCTGGAGCAGCTCAGGACTGAACGCAGCGAGGGGAAGGACGGGGTTAAAGCTCCCCCACCTGCTGCTGCCCACAGTACACCCCCCAAACCCAAAGCTGTCGCATCGGTTTCCGTCGCCACAGAGCCCGTAAGCTCTCGAACAGCATCCTGCCAAACGGACTTGCCCCCTACTGAGGTTGAGGGTTCTAAGAAGACCCCCCTCACCATACCAGTAAAACCAACCCCTGCCAACTATGTGGGTCTCAGCTTGCCAAAAACAGCTGGAAGAGGGGTTGTCCACAGCAGCTCAGGAGGACTGGTACAGACAGAGAATGGCTCAGAGGGCCAGACCCCCCATGTATTACCTACAGGGGTCAGCCCCCGTGTCCAGGCGGCCCGCTACAAGTTTCAGGAACAGGACCAAAACGGCACCGCGTCCCAGAGTCCTCCAGCCCGGGACCTCTCCCCAACAAATCGGGACAACTTTGCGGCCAAGCAGCAAGCCTGCCACACCGTCACGCAGGTCTTGTCTCGCTTCACTAGCCCCCCCGCCGGAGGTCCGGGACTCCTCCGTCCGAGCCTACCCCACTCCGCCTCAGAGGGGGGGCCTTTTCCTGGCCGCCTGAACCACCCCATTGGCCTTAAGTCCCCCACAGTGGCCAGGATCGACCGGGGGAACCCTCCCCCCATCCCTCCCAAAAAGCCAGGGCTTTCCCAGACCCCCTCCCCCCCTCACCCGCCCATCAAGGCGGCGGGGGACAGCAGCCGCTCCCCCGGGGCCGGCCTAAAGCCAGCAACGCCCCAGCTCCCGCCCAAACCTGCCCTGGACCTGGTCCCGGCCCTGACGGCCTCTCAGGTGGGTGCCTGCTCGCCGGGGCCCGGCGGGGGCCCCCAGCAGCAGCCGGCAGCAGCATGTGCAGAGTGCCCCCAAGCCATCACTGTCAGTAGCCCCTCCTTCATAAACCCCCCCTCCATCTCCTCCTCCGTTAGTGCTCCATGCTCACGTAGCCCCTGTTCCTCAGCAGGCAGCCCCCTGGCAACAGCATCAGGTAAAGAGGCTTGTCTCAGCACCGCCTCCCTCCATCCCTCACCTCTCCTCTTCAGCCGTCTTTCCAAAGTCTCAGCCTGGTCTAGGGTAGCCCAGCGCAGGGACCAGTTTGTTCCACGTCACTCAGAACCGTCAGAACAGACCCAACGCTGCTCACTAAATTCTCTCTCTACTCATCTCTCTAATAAGTCCTTCCCTTTGGGCTCCTGTGTTCTCACGCTGTCACATTAGCCATGTCAGGATCAGCAGCAGACGGGCTCACAGTGGAAGGAAGATTTCAGGGCAAATGAAAAGTCAGGGAACTGAGACAGACCAGAGGCTCCTGGTACTCCTGTGTTTTCTGACCGGTTTTGTTGACCTTCCTATAAGTAACCCCTATCCTCTCTGAAGCTGGTGCCAGAGGCTGCTTTCTACCCCCCCTTTCCCGTTTCCACCCCCTGCAGCATGCCCTCATCACTTTCCTTCCTGCACTCCTTCATCTGGACCACCGATAACATTCAGTTGTTTCTATTTCAATGTTACCATTTATATTCACGTTGTAATGCGCTTCAGTGCCACAGTTTGTTTGGATTTTGGATGATTAAAGATAATTCCAGTTTGTAGTGTCAACAGTTTGGCTTTTATTAAGTGTGCATTTTACCTTGTTGACCTCTTTAATAATTTGTAGTCCTTAAATAAGTTTGAATGTCAAAAAACTGGAAATATCTTTAAATATACCTGTGGATGGTGACACGGTGTGTTTGCATTTCCCACACAGCTGTTTTTGCATGTTCATGTACCCTGGTTTTAATCCTAATCACTGCTTTGTTTGTTTTATACAGTCTTACAGAGAACGAAATGACCATAGGCTCATATATACTCTTCAGCTGTGTCCAAATTCAGAGGCTGCGTCCTCCAATAGCCCAATTTGTTTGTGGTCGACAAATGCGTCCACCTTTTTCCAAGATTTGAGGGATACAGTAGGTCCGATGGATCCTTCTCGGCCCACCGTATCCCATAATGCATCGCGAGCCTACCGGAGATGTTTTTTTCCTGCTTGTAATGGCAGACGAAGCGAGAGAAATGAGTAGTTTTAAATAAAAATCTGATGATGTAAACAAATTAAGGGTCGAGCGGTTGTGTTGTTAATGCTTTTATCGTTTGTATAGACTTGATTTTAATATTATTCGTGTCAGATATGAAATGAGCTGATATAATGAAATAAACATGCACCTACGGCAGGTCCGTTAGGTCTTAAAATATTGCCTTTAAGCTATTTTGTAATAGTAATAGTGTTATGTATATTGATATTTTGCTCATTTCAATCTATCTTTCCTTCTGCTAGGTGACAGTAAGGGCAGGAATCAAGCAGAAGGCTTGACCAGCCAAATTCACAGCTATTTTCTTTGCGGTCGACCAAGGACCTGGCCCACCTAGACCAGGTCCTTCAAAGGACCCAGCCCCTGAATTTGGACACAGCCCTTGCCATGTTCTTAGATTTGTTGTCAATGACAAAAAAAACAACCTATAACTGTAACTAAAGTAAATCTAACATGAAACTGTAAAGTGGTGCGTGCATATTTATTCACCTCCTCAGATTTAATACTTCATCCTTCCTGAGCAAACTGCTGCAGGTTGGATGAACGCTCTTTAAATCAGACCAGAGATTCTCATTTGGACTGAGGTCTGAGTTTAGACTGGACTGCTCCAGGACCTTTAAGTGGTTCTTCTTAAACCAGTGGAGTGTTGCTTCAGCAGGGTTTAATGTTACTGTTGTGCGTAAAGGTCAACCACAGGTTCCAATCTATCTTTCCTTCAACTCTGACCACTTTCCCAGTTCTTCCTTACGGAAAACACCTTCTCCCACATGTTTTGAGGAGTCTCCAGTGTGGGTCAGAGCTTTGTTGGCCAAGCCGAATTGTTAAACATCTTTCCAAATGTATGGCTTTCAAGTTTTGTGCAGCTAGCCCCTTCCTGTCTCAAGTTATGGCTAAAATGGTCTGTTTTCTAGTAGAGTTCTCTGCAGTGATTGCACATAAACAGACATCCAGTGACTGCAGAGAACTCTAATAGAAAACAGACCATTTTAGCCATAAGTTTAACAATTCGGCAAACTACAGTATGTAATAAATAAATAAATAAATAAATAAATAAATAAATAAATAAATAAATAAATAAATAAATAAATAAATAAATAAATAAATAAATAAATAAATAAGGTTACATTTTGTTTTATAAAATATAAATAAATAATATAAAGACATGCTAAAAAATGTATTAAAATATATTAATTTTGCTTTTTTGTGGGGACATTTATGTATTTGATGGAATATTTCTTAATACTTTATTATATACGTTATTTATTTATTTATTTATTTATTTCATTATTTGTTAATTTATTGTATTTTGAAGGAAAGAGCTCTCCATAGCAGGAGAGCTGCCCAGCTCCTTCTCTGTTGTCTTTGGCCTCCTGGTTGTTTCTCTAAAGACCGGGTACGTGAGTTTCGGTGGATAAGCCTGTATTGACAGGTTAGCTGTGGTGGTTTTTCTATTTTCTAATAATGGGTTTATTTGAGCTCTGTGGGTTTCTCAGGGTAGGGGCTGTTTTATAATTCAACCCTGATCTCTGCACTGATGTTTGGTGGTAATCATTACTCCTCAGAGGTGTTGAACTGGTGTTTATTCTAGTGCTGTCAGAACAGCTGGATTTATACTGAGATCATTTGACTTGGAATGCTTAAAGTTGATCTTCGCCGACTGATTCTGTGGCTTCTAAAGCTGATGGTTGGGTTTTAAAGCAGAAGGGTAAATCCGTATGCACACACCACTGTCAGGTTTTGTTTTTTTACAAACGTTTTTGGACAAGATTTTTCTTTCAGTGTAACTTTCCTGTGTTTTGTGTGTTTTCAGTTAAAATAAAATGTCTAAATTAAATTCCAGCTTAGGGCAACAAAATAGGACGTTATGGAGTGAAAATTTTTAAAGCTACTTTATACACCTTTAGTTGTTGATGTGCTTAACTTCAAACCAGTGTGAGACTCAAATAATCACACAGACCCTGCTGATTGGTCATAATACACAAATTATATCAAAGATTATGTCAACTTTCTGAAACTATTGTTCTCAAAGATGTCTGTCATCTCTCCATGTTAATCTGATGCAAACAGGCTGCTTTATCTAAACTACAGCTTGCTTCATAATCTGATCAGATTGCAGAGTTTCTGGGTCAGAGCACACCTGCAACAGGATTGAGTTGAAGTCTGTTTTCATAATGTTAAAAGTCAAATAAAGGCCTAAATATAAATTTAACCCATACAGCGGGTAAAATAAGTATTGAACACGTCACCATTTTTCTCAGTAAATATATTACTAGAGGTGCTAATGACATGAAATTTTCACCAGATGTCGGTAACAACCCAAGTGATCCATACATACAAAGAAATCAAACCATAAATGTCCAGAAATGAAGTTATTTGTAATAATGTGGAATGGCACAGGGAAAAAGTATTGAACACACTTACTGAAATTTATCTAATACTTTGTACAAAAGCCTTTGTTGTCAATGACAGCTTCAAGACGCCTCCTGTATGGAGAAACTAGTGGCATGCATTGCTCAGGTGTGATTTTGGCCCATTCTTCCACACAAACAGTCTTCAAATCTTGAAGGTTTCGTGGACCTCTTCTATGAACTCTGATCTTTAGTTCTTTCCATAGATTTTCTGTTGGATTCAGGTCAGGTGATTGGCTGGGCCATTCCAGCAGCTTTAGTTTCTTTCTCTGAAACCAACTGAGAGTTTCCTTGGCTTTGTGTTTGGGCTCATTGTCTTGCTGAAATGTCCAGCCACGTTTCATCTTCATCATCCTGGTAGATGGAAGCAGATTTTTATCAAGAATGTCTCTGTACATTTTTCCACTCATCCTTCCTTCAATTATTTGAAGTTTGCCAGTACCATATGCTGAAAAACAGCCCCACACCATGATGTTCCCACCTCCAAACTTCACTGTTGGTATGTTGTTTTTGGGCTGATGTGCAGTGCCATTTGACCTCCAAACATGATGTGTATTCTGGCATCCAAACAGTTCAATGTTGGTCTCATCTGACCAGACCATATTCTCCCAGTATTACACAGGCTTGTCTAAATGTTGTGCAGCAAACTTTAAAGGAGCTTCAACATGCTGTTTCTTCAGCAGTGGAGTCTTGCGTGGTGAGCGTGCATACAGGCCATGGTGGTTCAGTGCATTACTTATTGTTTTCTTTGAAACAAACATACCTGCTAATTCCAGGTCTTTCTGAAGCTCTCCACAAGTGGTCCTTGGCTCTTGGACAACTCTTCAGATAATTCTTTTCACTCCTCTGTCAGAAATCTTGTGAGGAGCACCTGGTCGTGGTCGGTTTATGGTGAAATAATGTTCTTTCCACTTCTGAATTATGGCCCCAACAGTGCTCACTGGAACCTTCAGAAGTTTAGACATTCTTCTGTAACCGATGCCATCATTATGCTTTGCAACAATAAGGTTGTGAAGGTCTTGAGAGAGCTCTTTACTTTTACCCATCATCAGATGGTTCTTGACAAGGGGCAGGCTTGTTTTCTAATTACTGAGAGAGTTCAGCTGGTGTCTTGGCTTTCCATGCCTTTTTACACCTCCCTTTCTTCATGTGTTCAATACTTTTTCCCTGTGCCATTCCACATTATTACAAATAACTTCATTTCTGGACATTTATGGTTTGATTTCTTTGTATGTATGGATCACTTGGGTTGTTACCGACTTCTGGTGAAAATTTCATGTCATTAGCACCTCTAGTAATATATTTACTGAGAAAAATGTTGACGTGTTCAGTACTTATTTTACACACTGTATATCTGCCACACTCGTTAAACATAGCAAAGCTCACAGAGGGTGCTTAATCCAAACATGTTATTGTTTTAGAGCAATTACTCAAGTCAGCTACAAGTAAAGAACTTTTTAGCTTTGAGTTAGAAAAGGAAGGTAATGAGCTGTAATTTGATCAAAATATATTTGTTTAGTGAGTTTTATTAATTTAATTCAAAACATTTTCACTTTATTCCCCTAGTTGTTTTGTTCTTCCTTAATAATACCTCTATTTATTTAATAAAGAGCATTATATTTTACGTTTGTAATATTGGATTTAACATAATGAAACAAGAAGCTGTCTTTAACAGTTTAGGTATTTGTTTTTGTAAACAGAAAAATTACTTGTGTAAAATGATTTGACCATCTTGCCTCTTTTTTTTTTTATCTACAGTTCATCAAGTCAAATTATTGTTTGTGTTTTCAGATATAGGTTCAAAGTACTACAAAAGTTAACAAATGTTGCTGGATTACTTTATTCAATGTATTCTTAAATTAGCCTTTTATTTCTGTTTGCTGTTAAACTTTCTGTGCTTTAATTTATTATATACATCAATAGTTTCAGTAAAGTACGTTCACACTGATTTAAGTTTCTGAAACTGCTGATAAAAGACTGATTTTATAAATTGCGAGCTCTCTGACAGTAACACCTCCCACGTGTTTCTCTGGCATTTTGGCTTTGACCGTTCAGTGATTATTTAGTGGGAAAGTACAAAGCATCAGAATATCTTCAGTCTTTGTTTTCCCCTTCAGCCTCCTCATGAGAGAACTCATCAGGTCAGCACTGCAACTGACTGTAGAGCAAGTCCAAGGATTTTATAAAAACAAAAAATGACAGTTTGTCCTAAAGTTTGCTAGAATCTATCTAAGGACAAGTTGAAAGATGACTGAATCTAGCATCATACAACATGAAGTCAGTTAGGTTTCTCTTGTCATATGATGCCATCATGTATGGACACTATGAGAACAGTGCTGTTACTATATAAAACCCTTGTGCATGTTCAAACCTACAGTTTATTTCTGTGTTTTAGTTCACTATATTTGCACATTTCTAATTTGTAGGGGTGCAACGATACAGAAAATTCATGATTCGGTTCGGTTCGATACTTTAGTCTCACGGTTTGATATTTTTTCGATACAAAACAGAGAAATGTCCATGCCCCTTTTAACTTGTAATTTATTTAAATTAATTATGAACATTTGTTTAACCTCAAAAGTACAGTTTTTAAAATGAAATGTTGCTGAAACAGCAAGTTTCTCAGTGGATCTGAGCTCAAAAATGCAGCCTAGGTGGAGTAGTCGAACACAGATCCACTGATCCTTTAACACAGAGCATCTTCAGATGACAAATTTTAAAAATCTGTGTTGTTGGATACAAGTGTGTATTGAACCTAAAGCACTGTTCGATCCGGTTCAATACTTCTACATGTTATGTTGCACCCCTACTAAAAGTGTTCACGTTGTTTATGTTCCGAAGCATTTAGCGTGATTATTAGTCAGCTTCTGAATCCTTAGAAAAGAGAACGATTGGCCTGAACGATGTTTAGCTGCACCGTGTTGGTTTCATGTCTTTAACATGCTCACTGCTCCTGTTTCCACTTCATTACTGTTGAACTTGTTGAGTTTTCCACCGTCAGCAGCTTCTTCTTGTTTATCTGATAGAAAGGACTGATTTGTATGTGTATGAAAATCTGATTTGTTCTCCTTCCCTTCCACCTCCGACCTTCAGCATTTCTAGCGACTTCGCCTCCCTCCAGGTCCTTCCTCTCCTAGTTTAACCTGTGCTTGCTCCTCCTCCTCCTCCTCCTCCCCCCTGCAGGCTGGTGTCCCTCCATAGTCTCCCCTCTAAGCGGCAGTGGGCCTGCTGCCCTGGACAGTAGGCAACATCTGCTCCTCCAAGCTGCTTCCCAGGGAAATGTCACTTTATTGTCAATGCTGCTTAACCAACCAGACTTGACCACCACCACCATGACCACCATCACCTCACCGCCACCCATCTTCACCTCTACCAGCACTGTGGAGGACACGCCCCACCTTCTTGACCCGGACTATCACCTCAACCACAACCGAACTTCTGCCTTGCTTGCTGCTGCTCAGAACGGACAAACAGGTAAATTAAGCTTTTTTAAAAGCAGTTTAAACACAGAACAGAGTTACATTTGGTTATTTTTCCAAACGTTTTAAACTGTTTCAGACTTTGTGTTAGTCTGTCTGTAAGGCCACCATAATCTACTTCACATTTTTTGCTAAAATCTGGTAGAGAAACATTTATTAAATACATTTGAATGAAAATTAATCGTTCATTTAGTCATTTCACAGATGTTTTACTTAAATTGACCAAGAAAGTGGGTAATGATCTTAAAGGCATCTTATTTATTTTGACTGGATGATGATTTAATGGTTTTTAGGTGTTTATTCAGGATAAATAAGATAAACAGCTTTTGAATAACTCAGATTCAAAACTTAATCTTTTAAAAATCAACAACTAATCGTCAGAGTTGTAATGTAACTAAGTACAAATACTTTGTTACTGTAATTAAGTAGAATTTTTGAGTATCTGTACTTTACTTGAGTAATTATTTTTCAGCATACTTTTTACTTTTACTCATTACGTTTTTACACAATTATCTGTACTTTCTACTCACTACATTTTTTAAAAAGGTAAGAAGTAGAAAATCGTTACTCCTATTTTATTCTGAGTTGTTATTACTTTAAAAAACTATCCTGATAAACTGTGTCTCCTGGATAGAGTGAATTTAATTGTGGTTGGATGAGAAGTATAAATATTTACCATTCTGACACTATTATCTTGTACACAACCCATCACAGCTGCACGCTGTTAAAAAATATATTTTTTGAGAAGTCACCTCCCAATAAATGTCATTTTGGAAAATCTAACTGCTCACTTTTACTCAGTACTTTTACATTTAATACTTAAGTAGATTTTGTGTCAGAAATTTACTTTTGATACTTAAGTACAAAAAATATCAGATACTTTTAAGACTTTTCTCAATATATTTAGAGAAGACTTTAACTTTTACCAAAGTATTTTTATGATAAGATACTTGTACTTTTTCTCAAGTATCACTTTGTGGTACTTTATACAATCGTAGACTGTATATAACTAGACCTCTGACTGGAACCTGGAAGTCGAAGCGTTTTAAGCCCCGCCCTCTTCATATTAAGCAAATAGGATGTTGTTCTTGGTAAAATAATCAAATAAAAACCCTCCCCGTACCTTTTTAATTATTTTTTATTTTTGTTTATTTTTATGGTCCAGGAGGACTAAAGCTGTGTTTGAATCCTGCTTTCTCTTCTGACAGTAAACACTTGAGGAAAATATCCACATCTAATAAAAAAAATAATATAAAAATAAATAAATAAATATTACGAACTAGTCCACGTCTGTCTATCTTTAATTTAAGTGCACTTCAGTCGATACTAAATATTGTGCCTGTCCAAAAGTGCAGTTTTTTAATCTGGCCGCACAGAAGTCAGTCGTGATTTTTAAAGAACTGGCTGCTCACAGGGACCAGAAACACTCGATTTGAAAAGTGGGTCTCTGTCGTCACAGAGTGGGAGCTTCATGGTGTGCAGGACAAGGTTTTCAAAGATGTGATTGGTCTGTCTTTTTTTGTGGGACAAGATTGGTTGAGGTTTGAAGAAGCCCGAGGCAGCTGGGGGACATGTAGCTTGGTCGAAACGGCCAGGAAACACCTATAATTTTAAATAATGAACATTAATTTTAGTCATTACTCGAGACAGGAAGGTGCACGAAATTAGAAATCAGTTAATTATATTTACATGTTCACAATAATTTCACTGTTACAATTCTGCTTCTTTTAATTTTATGATTTGTGTCTTATTATTGCATATAGCTTTCTCTTTTTTAATGAATGAATGAACAAATAAGTAAAAAAAATAATACAATTACTTTATCTTTTAACCTTTTCAGCCTCAAGGGGTGTCCTTGAAAACTGTGCTCGAATGTGGTATTTGCTTTGACTTGCATTTCTAAAAATAAAAAATAAGGATGGAAATGTTTTAATGATTTGCTCTAATATATTTACAGGTTGATGCCTTTTTATCTAAAGTAGTATGATTTAGCCAAAATTCTGAGGGTTCTGAGAATACCAAACATGTTTATGCTCAAATGACAGATCTTAATTTAACAGACGTTAAAAAAAATAGAAAACGGGAAATGCAGCTTTGTTCGATACCTACCTACACAAACCAGTCTGACCAGTCACCCAAGCTCTGCCAATCATGGTTAAGACAAACTCCGCCCAAACAGCCAAGAAACATCCCCTATATACTGCACAGACCCCTTCTTACAGAACTGTGAGACCCCAACAACAGAAGGATAAAGCCTCTTGTACCAGCTCAGTCTGGCTGCAGATAACTCTTCTTATACATTTAATACATCAGAATACTGGCATTCAGTCAGCCTGGATTGTTACAGAAATAAGTCTCAAATTACTTTAGAGAAGAAAGTTGATGGAAGTGTCTTCAGTAGCTACATTTACAAGCTTTGGGACTTCTTCATAAATGTTCGAAATTAGTTTCAAACACTGTGGTTAAGCCTTCATTAAAAACAGACGACATTTATTAGAAATAGTGAGCATCTTGTGTTACCCTTGGCCTGAAGATGAAAGTCTAAACTTTTACTGTTTGCAGACACCAAGTGGTGCCACAGTGATGCAATGGTTGCCTTCAGAACCGGAGTAACCACGAAGCAATCATTTAATAAGTTTAAACCGCTTGTTAAACCAGGAAGCTGTCGACAATCTTTCATCTTTAGCTACCAAAAGGGTAGCACTGTTAGCCGCTCTGTGGCCCATAAAAGTGAAGAGTCAGGTTCCTTTGAAAGACGTAGACGATGATACGAGAACTACAAGTCTTCTCAAAGTCGATTTTACTCCAAAAGTCACAGAGTAGCTTTTCCTTTTTCAGACTAACTCTTACAGGGTTGGATGTCGTGTGAATAAAACGGTCAGATGGAAAATGTCTAAGATCTTCAAAGCAGAAACCTCCCTGCCACCTGCTATATTTGTCTAAACCAAACCTCTCTGCAGAAACCTGCTGAGCAGATGTTAAACAGCCATGATTGTGTGTTTGATCTAGTCGGTTCACATAAAATGCTTCTAGTGCACGTTTTCTATGGTTAGATTGATTAAAAGCTTCAGCACGGATCCACACAAGCTTTAGATTAGACAGGATCCTTTATGTTACACTTCAGTTTCAGAACAACTGCAGTCTTTATAGACGTACACGTGTGTGTAGAACCGATGGAGTGATGTGCAAGTTGTTGCTGGGACTTGCCTGAGTTGGATGAAAATGCAGGAAAGATTAAAGGTTCGGTGCTGCTCCTGCTCCTCACATGCACAGCTGTGGAGCCAGTAACCGTGTGGCTGATCCCATTCTGTCCACTGCTGTTAGACGAGAATGTCCGTCCATCGTGTTGGAACCTCAGCACAGAGTGCGTGTTCATTCAGCTGTCTCACACACACACAGGTCTGTCAGGATGTGCTTCTCTGCTGTGAATTTCAGCATCACACATTTTTCAGTTGAGGAGCATTGATCCATGAATGGGATTATTGCTTCAGGGCTCACAGGTGGGACACAACTAACACTGAAGATCAAACAACCCTTTTTATCACTGGCCACCAAAGTTGAAAGGGAGATGATGTTTTTTACTTGTGTGTGTGTGTGCCTGGTTTTTGTTACCTTTTGAGGACCTTCCCTGGTATAAAAACCAACCTTGTCACAACTGATAAGGCTTTTGGGGACCAAAGTCCGGCTCTAATATGGATTTGGTTTAGGACTAAGGTATGAATGGAGTTTAGGGTAAGAGTCAAAGTTAGGATAGTAAATGGAAGTGAAAACACAGTCCTAATAAGGATAGAAATGTTTTAAATAATAATTGAAGGATTTTGAAAATATACTGTCGTGGTAATTTTTTTATTTAACAAGAAACAGGAATACCTGATTCAAGGGGAAAACAGCTAAAAATTACTGCAGATTCTGTTCTTGTAAAAGCTGGCAGTCAGTTCAAAGGACCAGAGCCTGTTGTAGGTATCTCAACAACAGTCTGTAGGACTGCCCTACAGGCCTGGATTAGACGTCAACACCCAATCCTCTGGAGGGAGCTGATGGACTGTAGACAGGCACGGGAACTGATAAATGGTCCAAATGTTAGGTTCGGGAAAGCTCTCATTTCCCTGACAAGGAAAGTACACTGGTTAGAATTCTAACTGGGCACAACCAGTTCAACTGCCACAAAATGGTGATGGTTCCATGGCAATGAATTAGAGACCTCTTTGCACTACTTAGACCACTGCCTGGCTCTGAGTGGTCAAAGAAAAAAAATTCTTGGGGACATTGGATCTCGAGAAGCTTAGAACACTGTTTCTAACGTTGTGTCCTTCATCCAAGGAATGCAAAGGTTTGACTAAAGTCCAGTGTGTTTTTGGGGAGAGCAATGGGCCCACTTAGGAGACCCCTGCTCATGTGGGTTCTTTATCCAATCCCAGTCACCAAACCAAACATCCTGTCCATAAACCGTCCCTATCTATCAATAAAGAGTAAACAGTTTTAGGATCTAACAAAACAACGTTTATCTCTTTTACTAAATGCAGCTTGTTTTATGTTTAATTGCATTTAAATGTACTCCTTGTACTGATTTTATCATTTAGAGCTCCAGGGTTCTCACCCCCCATCTCTCTCTCCACCAGAGTGTGTAAAGCTGTTGCTGTCTTCAGGATTACCTGCTGATGTCTCAGATGAAAATGGATTCACATCGTTACATCTAGCTGCCGCCCACGGCCACAGCAGGTGAGCGTTTTGTTTGTCGTCAAGTAGACAGACGGTCCCTGTCAGGTCAGGGATTTCAAACAACGGTTGGTTTTAGCATAAAAGTATTTAGATCCAATGATAGCACAGGTGGTATCTGATAACAATGTAAGGTTCTTTGAAAAATACCTGCTACCTCAGCTGGTCTTATGTTAGGTTTCAATTCACGTTTTCAGCTTAGAGTTTCTGGATGAGAGAAGAAAAGTCATTTCTTTACAGTGTTGCTTCTGATCTCTCACATTCATTTGTTTCTCCAACACTGTCCTGATCTCACAGCCAGTCTGTGGGCCCCAGGACCAGAGGACCCAGCTCAAGAATGTGCCGTGTTGTAATATCTGATCACTGCTATTTATAGAGGGAAAATCATCCCCACCCAGCCCCCCGCCCACACGCAGCTCATTTGATGCTTGCTGTTTTTATATTTATTTACTTATTTATTTTATTTTGTGGTCGTGACTCAGAGGCTGTGTGAGCAGACTGGCTCAGTTTTCCTGATGATCTGGAGTTCAGTTATTCTGCTCCACTAACAGCCAGGGGTTGAGTTACAGCTCTGTGCAAAAGTCTTCAGTTGTGCCTCATCTCTTTAGATTCGAGAGCAAGATCTTTATAGAACTTTAAAAAATAGTCTCGATCAATCGTTTTTTTCTGAAGGTCTTCAAATTGTTTCTTTGGACTGGTCTGCTTTTACGCTCATCATTATTCCAGACAATGAACCTGACCATTCTTAGGGTTACATTTAGGTTGTTACACCACCGAACTCTGACCTGTAAATCATTCTTACTCCACCTGCTTCGGATGTTATCATCCATTAAATGGACATTATTAGCCGTTATCATCCCATAGAATGGCTTCAGACTGTCAGCTGGTTAATATGAGTCATAAAGCCACTAAGGTTAATTTTAGAGAAAATGACATGGGCTATGATAAAGTAGACCGGACTCTGGCGGTAGCAGATTGTTGCATTCCAACATATATGACACTGGTAACCCACTAGGGGGCACTATCGGGACAGTCTGAAGCCATTCTATGCGTCTGATAACTGCTAATAATGTCCATTTAATGGACTGATAACATCCAAAGAGGCTGCTGACTTAAACCTTTAGAACCTGGACCCGTTTCTACTTCTATGATAAAACTCAAAGAACCTTATGGATTAATAAAGCTCCTGAACTCAGAAGATGAACCTCTAACCATGTTCACATGTGCACAATTTTTTGATCGGATAAAAATGTATTCAGATTAAATAAACTGAACGTTGCCTCTCGCACCATGACTGCTGGAGACTGGCACCAGCTTTCCCCTTTCTGACCTGCGGATAAAGAAAATGGTCGGATGTTGTCAAAGGTTTTGTTAACGTGTTTTCCTCCCTCCAGCTGTGTGGAGACGCTGCTGGCTGCAGGAGCTGCTGTGGACTTGGTGGCTTCAGGGGGACAGACTCCCCTCTTTCTGGCCTGTGAGGCAGGGAGACTGGACTGCACTCAGGCCCTGCTGAATGCCGGAGCCGATCGCTGGCTGACCACCACAGTAAGTCTCTGTGGCACACCGGCTCCTGGCTGCCATCGGATGCTAAAACTTGTAACTAGGCTAGTTATTTATTAATATTTTTTATTTTTTTTGTGAGTCAGTGTTCATGCTGTTATTTTCCTGTTTATTTTTTCTTCTCTACAGTCCAACTACTTCTGCACACTTTGGAACATGGTTTTTGGTTTTTAAATTTATTACCTTTATTTAAAAAAATGTTCCTCATAAAAAAAGATTAGATCTTTTCATTTCCTGAAAACACATTGGTTTTTTTTCTTAGTTTTTTAAAGCTGCTTTATGTTTGTACCTGCTTTAATTTAGTTTTTATGGTACTTTTAGCATTAAGCTACTGTTTTATAAACTTTAACTAGTGTTTTACCAATGTTAACTCATGCTTTCATATTTGAGCTACAGTTTTGCTAATTTAACACGTTTGGCATTTTTTTTAGCTACTATTCTGCTGATTTTAGGTACTGTTTTGCAACTTTACAGTGTTTTGCTCCTATTAATCTTTTTTGCTACTTTAAGCTACAATTTTGCAAATATTAGCATCTTTGCGTTTGTAGCTACTGCTCTGCAAACTTTAACTAGTGTTTTGCTCATATTAACCTTTATTTTGCTACTTTCAGCTATAATTTTGCTACTGTTAGCATCTTTGCTTTTTTAGCTACTGTTTTGATGATTTTAGCTTTAGTTTTACTATTTTTAAATACAGTTTTGCTGGTTTTAGCCTGTGTCTTGTTTATTTTAGCTACTATTCTGCTGCTTGTAGCTACTGTTTTGCAAACTTTAACTAGTGTTTTGCTCATATTAATCTTTATTTTGCTACTTTCAGCTAAAATTTTGCTAACATTAGCATGTTATTTTAGCTACTTTTGCTGATTTTAGCTTTGCTTTATTTATTTATTTATTTATTTATTTACTTTTATTTAAAGTTTTGCTAGTTTTAGCCTGTGTTTTGCTTATTGTAGCTACGGATTTTAACTTTAGTTAATTGGAGCTTCTTCCTCCTGGTTTGACTTCTTTAGATTTTTAGCCTCTCTTCTGCTTCTTCTGGCTTTAATAACTCAATAGTTTTAGCTTTTTTAACAAAGCAGAAAAGGTCATTTTTCTAATAGTAGTAAGTCAAAAAGAGAAAAACAAATACATTTTATGTTGTTTTTTTTTTCACACTGTGCGGCCCACTCTCACTCTCCCACAGTTTGTCACTCTTTAGTAACACTGAGTTTCACACTCAGCTCACTTCACATGAAGCACTGAGGAAATCTCAGGGTGACTGAACAGCGCGAGCCTATTGACGTTCAGGCTTCTGAAGGCTTCCATGGTAACAATAGGAGCCTCTGATTTGCCGCAGGCTCATGTGATGAACCCCTATATTTAGTTCCTGGCCTTGTTCTACATTTAGCCTGTTTTATTTCCTGCTGAACATCTAACCTCAGAGCAGCCAGCAGTTTATCAGGTCAGGAGCAGAAACAGCTGAGAGGAGAGCAGAGCTTCATTAAGAGTCAGAGCTACGTTTAGTCAGGTTTTAATTTAGGTTATATTCTTTTAAAACGATCACAACTTCTTGTTTTGAATCATATGAAACACATAACACCTATAACCACAAATAAATCAAAAGTAAAGATGGTTCAATTTAAAAAACTAAAAATTTTTTTTTTAATTTTTCAGGATCTGTACACAACTAGTTTTAGGTTTGAATATTTGTGAAATGTGGCACAAAATGTAGCCCATAATTTAAATAATTTTCATTTTATTTGGTGTAAACTGAAGACTGGACAGAAAATTCTTTTTTTTCTGTACTTGACTGGTCAACATCAGATCTTGTTGATCAGTGATTCTGTCTTTATTTCAGTAAACTTAATCTGATTGTTGGGAAAAGAGATTATTTACTTGTCTTTACTACACATGTTAATGAGGAGAATAGGGCAGATATTATAAGATTTTTTTCTTCTCTCTGCTTCCTTTCATTTCATTGTATTTGTATTTTTTTATTTTTATTGTACATAGAATTCGTTTTTTTATGAAAAGAATAAAGTTTAAACTATTAACAGTATATTAGGGGTGCAACAATACATGTACCCGTATTGAACCGTATTGAACAGTGCTGTATCGAACAATACAGATTTAAAAAATTTACTTTATCAACTTGTCTTCTGAAGATGCTCTGTGTTGAAGGATCAGTGGATCTGTGTTCGACTACTCCACCTAGGCTGTATTTTTGAGCGCAGATCCACTGAGAAACTTGCTGTTTCAGCAACATTTAATTAAAAAAACTGCATTTTTGAGGTTAAACAAATGTTCATAATTAATATACAGTAAATAAATTACAAGTTAAAAGGGGCATGGAAATGTCTCTTTTTTGTATCGAAAAAATATCGAACCGTGAGACTAAAGTATCGAACTGAACTGAACCGTGAATTTCCTGTATCGTTGCACCCCTAATATATATACATACATACATACTGTATATACATATAGACAGTTGTTGACTACATTAAGGAAAGACTTTGTCAGACTGTCACCAAAACAAACCCACAAATTTAACTTAAAAAATTACTGCTGAAATAAATATATGCATATACAGTATATGAAGAGTTTTGTTTTGTTGTTTGAAACAATAGGTTAAAAAATATTTTTCTCATTGTTGCAGTTCTCATTGGAGCTGTCTTGCTTTCGTGTTCTTGTTTTCCAGTTTTTTGAGCTAGAGTTTAAAAAGCAAACCCTAATCGCTCTTTGGACAAAAGTCAAGTTTAGCACTTGTTTCTCCTGCATCATGTCTCATATTTACTTCTGGTATCTGGCGTTTAAAACCTCACGTTTACCTCTACCACAGGACGGCTGCACGGTCCTGCACGCTGCCGTCCGGTCTGGACACGTGGACACGCTGCTTCTCCTCCTGCACCACCCAGCTGGTGGTGGTGAGGCCCCTGACCCGCCCGCCGTCCTGGCAGTGCCTGCTGTGCTGCTGAACCAGGCAAACAGTGATGGCTGGACCCCTGCACACATGGCTGCTGCCCTCGGCCTCAAGGTAAAACAACATACTCGCGATTAGCATGTTAGCATGTTAACTGGCTTACAGTCCTTCCTGTGCTGCTCGTCATCTCTGACAAAGTTAAAAGATGAGGTAACTTGTTACAGAGGTTAATGTCAGTTTAGAGTGATATGTGGTGTTTTCCAGAAGATCTTTCTGGAGCTTTCAGGGTTTAGAAACAGATTGGAATTAGATAATTAAACCTTTTTAGTGAAGCTGCCAACACAACATTTGTCTGGCCCAGCTCTGGCCCACACAATGCACTAAATCTCAGCCCAGATATCACAAAGAATGACATCTCTTTGGTGACCCAGGTTTGGGCCATGCATGGACCAGCACCACAAAAACTAAACCACAACCAGGCTAGACCTGGCCCACATCAGGTTGACAAATGACTGCTGGACTTAATATATCTTACAAATCACTAAATAAAATGTTGCTAATATTCTATAAGTCCAGATAGTGGGAGCCTGTACAGTCATATGTGCAAGTAGAAAATCTTTACCTGGCTAACATTGGCTCATTTTGTTATGTTAGCATTGCCAAAAAGTAGCTGCTAATTTTTTGTAATTTTTCTGCACAGAATCCTATATTTATCCTTATGGTATATTTTATTTTTATCATACTTGTTTTATAATATGATTGCTACTGTTGCATACATTGTTTGTGAATTGATGTATCTGCTGATATTTCCCCTCTGTTGGACAATAAAGGCTGTTTCTATTTTATTCTGTTCTATGTGAGTTCACAAACACACAAATGTTGTGATAAGTGACATTAAAAGCTCAAAGCACACTACTGAAAACCTGCTTTAATAAACATGTTTATAGATATTTACTTTCACTATAATGAATTTATTCCTCCCAAATAGGTTTCTTTGTAAGACATTATTTTTATTCCATAAACACAGTCAAGCTTTTATTTTGGTACATCCTGTTACGTTTATTTTTTTAGATTTTTTTTCTTTTTTTTCTTTCATTCAATTTAATTAGTTTTTTATGGTCTTTGTTATTTTTGTGAATGAAATAAATG